CGAATTGGGGTTCTCTTCCTGCATTTATTCCCCCCCCCAAGAAGTTACAGGAAGAGACATAGGTGGGGTTTTTTCTATGTACCATTTAACAAGTTTAACAATAGAAGCTGGTAACATTCAGTAAAAACAGGTCAGATGACATTCCATTAAACAATTAAGTGATCCACCAACAAAAGCTTGATCTAGCAAATATTCCTTCTCCCAGCAATTTCCCAATATCTTTACATATCAATCAGTAACTAGTCTGTCTTTGAGCCAGCAACCTTGCTATTTTAGAATTCTTTATCTTACACCAGAGACTTTATAGCCTGAGGAAAATTTCTTGTCCTTTGCAAGGTCAATATTTGAAACTGCAAGGCTTTGGAAAACCAGGCCCTGTGAAGTACATTTGCTTCATGAATCCTCTACATATTGGACCATCAGAAATTTGAACACTAGGTATTTTTGATTGTAAGGAATTATTGTTAATTTATATAACAGTGTTGCAGTTATGTTAGTGTTATAAACTATAATATTTACACATAGAAATGATATCTGTAATTTCTTTCAAAATAATATTGAGGGGAAAAATGGGTGAAAAATATGGATGAAATAAGATTGCTCATGAATAAATTATTGAAGCTAAGTGATGGGGACAAGGGATTATATTGTATTTTTCTATCCACTTATGGATATTTGAAAATTTCCACAGAAAAAAACTCTAAAGAGAACGAAAGTGCACTTCTTGTGCCTTATGTTTCCTCTGTCTCCTCTCACATTTCTATACTATAGCGTGTACTTTGAAGCTATGGTGCAGAGTGGAGGAGCAAAAATGGCTGCCTGCTTGTCTCGGTGTCATCTCAGCTGTCTCTGTTGCTCATGTGATCCGGCAGAACGTCAGTACTGTTAAGATCAGCAGTTGCTCCCCTTACGGCCAACATGGTATTCCTTTGGTCATAACATATATGATAACTATGATTATGAAACTAAAATATCTCAACTATACTTAATACTCTGTGAAACAGTAATGTTAAAAATTAAATTTAGCACTTTAACATCAATATAATTTTCTCTTTAAATGGAAGGTCTAACTGTTCATTAAAATGATTAAGTTTAGGGCATCAAAAGGGTATTGACAGAAACATTATAAAACATTAAATAAGAGGGCTAGCTGGTTGGTACAGTTGGTTAGAATGCAATGTTGATAACACCAAGGTCAAGGGTTTGGATCCCCTTATGGGCCAGCCGCCAAAAACCAAAAACATTAAATAAGAATCCATGAGTTCATAAAGATACTTTACAGAGAGGAAGAGAAATATGGGGAAACTCCGCTTTACAGGATCTTCGCCAATGAAAGTAGAAGAAATAATAAAATAGCATGATTTTGCAGCCCTCTCTTGACCTCCCATGACCATGTTATAAATGATTCAGGCAAAGATTTTCCATGGATGCTAAAACCTTTGGGTGAAAGGGTCTTGAGAAACAGGATATATACAAGGTCTCAAATGATTACATTGCAGATTACTTAATAATTATAAAAGGAAAACTGTACTTTTACAATGGAGAGCTCTGGTAATCATCACCCATCAACCAAGTGATCAAACTTATTAGCATCACCAATAGTAGGACAACCTGACATTGTGCAATTCCTGATGAGATGCAGTAAGAAGTACATATCACCACCTTTGTGGATGTCTTGCCGAAATGTTTATCCTGACTCTACTTATGAGAAAATAAGACAATATGTCAACAATTAGTGAATCTATGTGGAGGTTATATGGTGTTTTTTGTATTGTTCTTTCAGATTTTCTCTAAGTTTGAAATTTTTAAAATAAAAAGGTAGTGGAAAAAAATTATTTGGTTTATATTTTGTAAGACTTCCATATAATGCAGAAAAATAAATAAAAAGGGTGGTGTAAGTTTTGAGTTAAAATCAATTCATCTCTCCAAAAGCAGTAAGCGTAGCCAAAGGTAAAATAGAATTCTACCTGATCCTCCATTGACCCAAGCCATATCCTCTGTGTGACCTCTATTTTGTCACAACAATGAACAATTTAACTCTTTTTCCTGTCTCCATTAGGTTAAGACACTGAAAAGAAGCAAAAGACAAAGTATAGCTGACAAGCATGTTTACTGGCTCCAGAAATAAATCCAAGACCTGGAAGCAAACTCTAAGCTTTTAAAGATGAAAAGTTTTGAAAGAAAAAAACTATAAAATTCCCTTACATCTTTTTAATCTGGAAAAAAAACCTACAGAAATTTTATCTGAGAAACTAACGGTATGTTCTCATTCTTTAATAATATTTAAGGATCTATAATAAAACAAATTAAAAGTACAGTTTCTTAGTTAGGCATTTATTGTACATGAAGAAACATGAATTCAATTTTGAAATCATGAGCTAAGTCCAAAGTGCCACAGCATTTTTAGTTTTATTTTACTGAAATACCAAGTCAAAATTTGATTAATGTACACTTATATTTCATGTGTGTGAAAGATTATATACCACATAGTAGTTCCATTTTTCAAAAGGTATCTACTTGTTTATGAAATAGAGCTCCCTACATCCTCATAACATATGCTACCTGCTTCTGTAGAATTGCTTGCTTAACCTAAGTAACTCCATTTTGCCCCGTCTGACCTGCAGACTACCACCACTTCTGCATGAGAAACCATTGACCTTCGCATAGAAACAGGAGCCATACACAATGAATTATTACATGGGAACAGGAACCATACACAAGGAAAACTTGTATGCTTGATTGCTTTAACGGCTCATTCTCAACCTCTGTGACCCAGCTCCCTAGCTTCCTTTGTGCACCTGGACAAACCTGAGTGCCAACAGGATGTAGTTTTTGCCTTTAAAAACCCTACAAGACCAAGGCTCTTCCTTGGTTGCTCCCTGGGAGACAGATGCTGGCCAGTTGGAGTGAATACTGCCCTTTTCTGCACGAGTGGCGTGTAAGTGCATTTCTTGGGGGAGGGTGCCTCACAACATCTTTTACATTCTTGAAAGTCTAGATTGAAAGGGAATAAAAAAAATACAAGAGAGCACTGGGCTGTATTTACCTGCCCTCCTGAAAAAGGGCTAATGCCCACAGAGAAGAGCAAGATTTATGAAAAGTGATAAACCTTTTATATTTTGCACAGAGGTGGGAGTGAAGAGGTGTGTTTAAAGAACCATCCCATGGGGTGCTAAACAGTGCTCAATTACAGCCCAACCCTCCAACACTTTTGGATTGTACAATCCGCCAATTCTTTTGTTCTCATATATATATTTAAAGACTTAATATAGAATTAGGTTGCACCCCCATTAAGTATGCTTCTACTCTTTTATCATTTTGGTGCTAATAAATTTTAATCAAGCATTGTGATATTGTGATTAGAAGCTTGGCACTTCCAGTCCCCGTCCCCAACCTCCAGGAAGGGGAGAGGGGCTGGAGATTGAGTTAATCTACCATGCCCATGTGATGAAGCCTCCATAAAAATACCTGAACTATGGGGTTCAGAAATTCCAGGTTGGTGAACAAGTGGAGGTGCCTGGAAGGTGGTATGTCTGAAGAGGGCATGAAAGCTCCAAGCTCCTTCCCACATACCTGTTCCTATACATCTCTTCCATCTGGCTATGCATCTGTACCCTTTGTAATATCCTTTATAATAAATGAGTAAATGTAAGTAAAGTGTTCCCCTGAGTTCTGTAAGCTGTCCTGGCAAATTATCAAACCTAAGGAGGGAGGACATGGGAACCCCAATTTATAGCTATTTGGTCAGAAGCACATGTCACAACCTGGTACTTGTGATTGGCATCTAGAGTGGAGGCAGTCTTGTGAATTAAAACCTTAACCCGTGGGATCTGACTCTAACTCTAGGCAGATAATGTCAGAATTGAATTAAAATATAGGACACCCTGTTGGTGTCCGCTGGAGTACTGGTGTCAGAAGTGAAGTGTTGAGAGTGAGTGTGATACAGTAGGAGAAAACTTAGTTTTTCCATTAGGTCAGGCACCAACCTATGGTGTACACTGAACTCAAAGATTAGTATTTCATAAGCTAAATCAAGGCAAGGAAAATACTAAACTAATTCTCCAACAAAATCACAGCATATAAAAGAAAAAATGCCTAATTGAAGAGCTTGGTATCTAGGGAGGTAACTCACAGGGACCTGCAAATGACTCCTTGGAAGGAACCCAAATAATTTCCCAACTCCCAGCAAGCACTACCGATTGCAGACATCAAGAAATATTAGTAAACTTTTCAGCACTGAGGTACACCAGAAAAGTTAAATGATGCTAATGAATGCTGTTAATAAAAAGTGCAAAGCAATCAAAGAAAGGAAAGAAAGCACATAAATCAAAGATTCTCAACCCTGGAGAGCTTTTCAAAAAATACTTCCTGGGATCCACTCCAGACTAGTCATATTGGAATTTCTGGGATTCAGACTCTGACACTGACAACACTGAAATTTCTTAAAAAGACTCCAGCTGATTTTTTTTTTTTTTTGGCAGCCAGCCCATACAGGGTTCTGAACCCTCGACCTTAGTGTTACCAACATCATGCTCTAAGCAAGTGTTCCTGATTCTCATATGCATCCAGGCAGCCAGCCCATACAGAGTTCTGAACCTTCGACCTTAGTGTTACCAACATCATGCTCTAAGCAAGTGTTCCTGATTCTCATATGCATCCAGGGATGAGTACCACAGGTGTCAATACAAAGAAGGTAAGAGGAAAAGGAGAGAGGAAGCAAAAGTAAGCACTATTCATGATTATCAATTTCCATACTTAAACCATCAGATTTTCCATTTAAACTATACTCACTAGTTTTGTAGTACCCTCTACTGGTCAGGAGGGGTATCTATTATTCCTAAAACTAAGGTCCAGAAGAAATTTCCAACTCCCTTAATTAGAATCAATAAGTGAAACTTTACTTCCATATTTTCTCATCATTTAAGTGTAAATTAGGTTAGCAAATATTGTGTCGGCAAAGACAATTTTAAGCTTAATCTCAATAGTCAGGAGCAAAAGAGATCTTCACTTGATCTCAGCCAAAAGGCTGAGAAGTGATGAGAGATTTTTTTTTTTTTAAATCTGTCATTTATCTCAAGGTTTTCAACCTTGGCACGACTGACATTTTGAAACAAATGATTCTTGGTTCCAGGGACCAAACTGTAGATGTAGACAGTTTTAGAATATTCTTTAGCAACATTACAGTAAACCAAGTTTATATTCCACCATCAAGTGTGGTTCTCCCATTAGTTCACTTTGTGATGGATCTGAAAACAAACAAAAACAAACATTTTAAAAGATACTCAAAAAAAGATAAATTCAATGATTCCACTTACATGAAAATCTACAACACATAAAACTAATCCAAAGTGACAGAAAACAGACCAGTGGTTGCCTAGGGCCAGAGTGGGGCACTAACTGTAAAGGGACCAAGGGAACCTTTTGGGGCTGATGAAAACATTCTATATCTTGATTGAGGGGACCCAGCTGTACGCATTTGTTAAAACTCACAGAACTGTACACTTAAAAATGGGTGCATTCTATTGTATGGCAATTGTACCTCAATATAGTTGACTTTAAAAGAAAAATTAGATTGAAGAAGTTCTCCTTTTTCAAGGTTCTTAAGTTTTCCAGTGGCTTCCCAGATAACTCTGGGAACAATCTCTTAATCTAATTTGCAAAAATGTTTTATCTAGATCCTCTTTTTCTTTTCTTTTATTTATCGGTGGCTGGCCAGTCTGGGGATCCAGCTGGCCAGCATGGGGATCCAAACCTGTGTATATAAAGGCATTCAAATCCTAAACTTAAAAATTTTAAAACATCAGGTAACTAAGGAGGAGAGAGAAAGAGAAATGGTATCGGGGATAATTATGGGGAATCTGAGTTTCAATGATATTGTTTTAAATTTCTAAACAAAGAATATACTCATTTATGTAACTACAATTTTCTTTTAAACTTTTTTAAGCTTCTGACTTTCTTTAATAAAGTGTGCACTTATTAAACAAATCTCATGCACCAAAGCAAGGCACGGGCTTGCAGCCTATGGTTCTAGCACTCGTGCTGCGAACTCGCCTTGAAAATGAGTAAGAACAGGGCCTCTCCATAAGCCTCGGTTTACTCTTCTTAAAGTGAGGGGGTTGCAGTATGTGAAAAGTTCCTTCCAGCCATAAGAAAAAGTCTAGTTTTGACTTTACTAGTGCCCTCCTCATACATCCTTCCCCTCCTTGTAAAATGTGCAGAATTTTCTTGGCCAAACACTTCACTGATAAACAGACAAAATCCTCATCATCTCCAATACTTTAAGTCTTCATACAGTGTTTAGATTAACCACTACTCTCTTATTATGAACTTAAAACTGCAATCTGGGTCAAAAGTGATGAGGAGAATGAGATGTGCAAGAGGTTTAAACACTTGCTACAGATCAAGCACCTGACTAGGCACTGGGGACACAATAGTTAACAAGACCAAGTTCTCAGCTTTCATGAGGCTTAGATTTAAGTTGGGGAGAATGAATAATAGACAATAAAAATATTAGATAACTATGTGCTGTGGAGTATACTATAAAGCAAATGTATTTCACAGGGCTCCAAAGCCCTGTAGTCTCAGGTTTAGTATAACCTTTTGGAATTACATATAGAAATGTTAACCTTGCAAAAGACAGGAAACTTTCCCCAGGCTAAAGTCTCTGTTGTGGGATAAAGTCTTTGTAACACAGCAAAGTTGCTGGCTCAAGGACAGAAAAGTTACTTGATTGATATGTAAACTACTGGGGAAGCTGCTGTAGAGTAAGAGAATGTTTGCTAAGATCAAGCTTTTGTTGGTGGATTGACTTAACCTTTTGCAAATTGCATTATGGAATGTCACTTTGCTTGTTTCACTGATGCTACCAGCCTCTACTGTTAAACTATAACCCCACCTGTGTTCTTTTACTGTAACTTCCTGGTCTGGAGAATAAATGTGGGGAAAGAACCCCAGTTTGTGATTAATTTCCCAAGGAAGGAATGCCTCTCTCTTGAAGGTTCCGGGAAATTAACCCCTCCAGGGTCTCTCACTACTTGGAAAAAATGGGCTTTGAGTAATCCTTTTTTGTGGCTCCGTCACCCAGGGGAAGAGAGGTGATAAATCCATGTGAGGCAAAGCAACATGTGCCACACAAAGAATGTTAAGGTGAGGTGACAGAGTGACTAGGGACTTTAGATTAGGCCTCTCTGAAGAAGTGACATTTAAACTGGGATCTTAAAATATTCTAAGCAGAAGGAACAGCTAGTGCAAGGTTCTAAAGTGAAGCCATAAACTACCCATGATAAAGTCTTTGTAACACAGCAAAGTTGCTGGCTCAAGGACAGAAAAGTTACTTGATTGATATGTAAACTACTGGGGAAGCTGCTGTAGAGTAAGAGAATGTTTGCTAAGATCAAGCTTTTGTTGGTGGATTGACTTAACCTTTTGCAAATTGCATTATGGAATGTCACTTTGCTTGTTTCACTGATGCTACCAGCCTCTACTGTTAAACTATAACCCCACCTGTGTTCTTTTACTGTAACTTCCTGGTCTGGAGAATAAATGTGGGGAAAGAACCCCAGTTTGTGATTAATTTCCCAAGGAAGGAATGCCTCTCTCTTGAAGGTTCCGGGAAATTAACCCCTCCAGGGTCTCTCACTACTTGGAAAAAATGGGCTTTGAGTAATCCTTTTTTGTGGCTCCGTCACCCAGGGGAAGAGAGGTGATAAATCCATGTGAGGCAAAGCAACATGTGCCACACAAAGAATGTTAAGGTGAGGTGACAGAGTGACTAGGGACTTTAGATTAGGCCTCTCTGAAGAAGTGACATTTAAACTGGGATCTTAAAATATTCTAAGCAGAAGGAACAGCTAGTGCAAGGTTCTAAAGTGAAGCCATAAACTACCCATATATTTTGTAGTCACCATTCCCACAAGAGGGAAACTATCCAAAGTGTAAGGCAGTGGTCTCCTTGGGATAAAAATGATCTGTCTGAACAAGAGATCTTTCCAGCTAATACCTACCTTAGAGAGATGCAAAGAATGAATTAAAAAAAGATGTCCACAAGATAGCTAGTGATCTGTTTAAATGTGAAATTATGTCACATCATGCCCTTGCTTAAAACCATTCAGTGGCTTTCCATTGCAAATCTAAACTCTAAACTTTTTGCAGTTTGCAGGCTGTGGCTCATCTGCTCCCTGCCTAGTTTTCAGCCTCACCTTATTCCACTCTCTACTTTGCTCAAAACACTCCAATCATAGGAGCCTTCTTAAAGTGTTCTTATGTGTGTTGGGAGACAACTCTTTATCAGTCTGACACAGTCACGATTATGCCATTCTTGGGGAACAGAGGCACTTACTGCCTTTGTTCTAAACTATCTTTTCCAGGCTGTTTCTTTTTTTTTTTTTTTCCTTTTTGTCTTTTTTCGTGACCGGCAACAGATCGCAACCCTCAGTGTCGCGCCCATACCGGACCGGGACCGGCAACGGGATCACAACCCTCGGTGTTGCGCCCGCACCTCGCTCAGCCAGTGAGTGGGAACTGGTCTCCACGTGGGATCTGAACCCTCAGCAGGAGCGCCTCCGCGCTCCCAAGCGGCACACTGTAGCAGTGCGCCACCGGGCCGGCCAAATTTTTTTTTTTTTTTCCTTTTTGTCTTTTTTTACTGACCAGTAACGGGATTGCAACCCTCGGTGTCGTGCCCGTACCGGGGACCGGCAACGGGACAACCCTCGGTGTTGCGCCCGCACCTCGCTCAGCCAGTGAGTGGGAACCGGTCTCCACGTGGGATCTGAACCCTCAGCAGGAGCGCCTCTGCGCTCCCAAGCGGCACACTGTAGCAGTGCGCCACCGGGCTGGCCAAATTTTTTTTTTTTTTCCTTTTTGTCTTTTTTTACTGACCAGTAACGGGATTGCAAACCTCGGTGTCGTGCCCGTACCGGGGACCGGCAACGGAATCACAACCCTCGGTGTTGCGCCCGCACCACGCTCAGCCAGTGAGCGGGAACCGGTCTCCACATGGGATCCGAACCCTCGGCAGGAGCGCCACCACACTCCCAAGCGGTGCACTCTCCAGTGCGCCACCGGGCCGGCCCTCCAGGCTGTTTCTAAAGTGAACAGCCTCAGAAAACAGAGGAGCATCTACGACAGGCAGGTTTATAAAAGATTCAGGTGCCCTGAACTTGGAGTTCCTCTCTTGTAACAAAATACAACATGCAGGCATCACCTGACTCTCTTCGTGCCGGTCTGTGGGAAATGGGTCCCAGGAAACCAAAAGAAATGCTGATACTGTGGCTACTGCTATTGCTATGAGTAATAAACTGTCCTTTGTCTCTAGGAATATATCTATCAGCATCCATTAAACCATGGCAGACAAACTGGTTAACTTGTAAGCAGGGTAAGACCTCAAATCCTTCAAAGTTCTTTAGCTATTCTCAGGTTAGAGATCCCAAACATATTGTTTCTTCTGCCTAAAATATTCTTCCCTATACTTGCTGACAACTTCTTTTTTGGGTGGTGGGGGGAGACAGCTGCCCAGTATGGGGATCCGAATCCTTGACCTTGGTGTTATAACATCTGCTCTAACCAACAAAGCTAACTGACCCACCATTCTTCCCTCTACTTGTAGCTCCAATTCATGTATCTTTCAGGAATCAACTTATGTGTCATTCCTAGAATTTATCACAATTTAGTTTTATATTTGTGTTTTATCTGTTTAATGTTTGCTTCCCCCACTAAAAAGCACAGATGTTTTGTTCACTGACGTATATTCAGAGCCTAGCCCATGCCTGACATATAATAAATATCTGACTGACTGAATAAAAGCTCAGTAAGTCCCTTTTCTTTTCTTTCCAAAGAATTACAGAAGCAGATTTTTAAATGAATACATTTTTATAACTAATTAAAGATTAAAAACATATGAGGGTACTTCAAAAGTTCAGGGAAAGACTCATTATATTTCAATTCTATTTTTCCACAAACTTTCTGAAGTATCCTCATATAAAAGTAAACTATCTTTTTTTTTTTTTTTTTGGCAGGTGGACAGTATAGGGATTGGACCCAGGACCCTGGTTTTATCAGCACCACACTCTAACCAAGTGAGCTAACTGGCCAGCCCTAGACCTGAACTATCACCTACTAGTTTTAAAATGAGGTCTAAATTCAATGTAATTGCTTAGGAATCCTAGGTTTCCTGCATTCAAAAAATTCCCTCAGGGAAGAGTCTCAAAGAGGAGGCTCACTAGACTTCTGTTATGTCCACAGCATTTCCTTACCGGACATCCAGCTAAACAAAACTAATAAAACTTAATCTTATTGGGTTTTTCTGTTTCTCCTACACTGCTGGGGCATACTTAGCAAAGGCAGTACTGGACAGGAATGTATTTGTTTATCTTCCTTAGTACCAGAAAAAATAGAGGATGCTACATGTATTGTTCTTACTCAAACATCATTTATCTTATACATAATACAATTATTCAGGGAATTTAGTTAAAAATGACAGATTCCTCTTTTCTACTTACCACCTGTAGAAGCACAAAAATTATTGGGGAGAGGGTGTTAAAGAAAGCTAGAGGATGCTGCATGTATTGTTCTTACTCAAACATCATTTATCTTATACATAATACAATTATTCAGGGAATTTAGTTAAAAATGACAGATTCTTCTTTTCTACTTACCACCTGTAGAAGCACAAAAATTATTGGGGAGAGGGTGTTAAAGAAAGCTTTTATCTTATTTGTTCTAGTCATTTTAAAAACTAGTCAAATCCCATAAATACTGTGAATGCAGAAACAACTATCATTGCTTAAGCTGCCCAACACATCAGACTTGATGTTCAGGACATGAAATGAGTTACTACCATTATTTGACTGAAATGACTATAACCTTATAACTCCATAAGTGATCCTCACTGTTAAAAACAGTTAAAAAACAGTTATTACCATGAAATTTTATCTTACTGCAGTGAATAAAAACAAGGGAATCCAATAAGCTATAATCCTCCATGATGAAGATTTTGCCTGTTTTGTTTGCTGCTGTTGCCTTGTATATTATAGGGGCTCTGTAAAAAGGTGCTGAATGACACTTACCATTAAGAATATCTTCAAACCCAATTGTCTCATCATTACCCCTCAAAATATCCAGTGAAAGGTTTGAGCTTGAAAGAAACGGAAGACGCTGAATCTTTGGGAAAAGTATGAAAGGGTAAGATTAGAAAAAAACAATAGGGAAAAATCTATAATCTATACAGAATCTATAATATAATTTCATGTTCTTCATTCTTTATTTGAAAAATTCACAAAACTTAGCCAGTGAAAGAAAACACCAGTTCGTATTTTAGACACAAACCAAGTTTTAAAAAATACCTCTGGACTGGCTGGTCAGTTAAGTTGGTTAAAACATGGCGCTAATAACACAAAGGTCCAGGTTTTATCCCTGTACTGGCCAGCTGCCGAAAAAAATTTTTTTTCTCAAAATTTTACTCAAAATATGTCAAGACACTGAAATTGTAGCTTTTATTATCACTTAACAATCCCATCAAGTTTGCACATATTTTGAAGTTTTTTGCTCCTGTCCAGGAAAACTACATCACGTACTATGTGATGAATGCAAAATCCCAAAGCCTAACACGATGTCTCATTCCTGATCCATGTGCAATGATCAAATTCCTGAAGAAATTCCAACTCAGTGAGAGCATTACTCTACTTAGTAAACAGATTACTTCATTTTGTATGTTGTTTTGTACTGCTCATAGTACAAATGGAAGGTATAACCCTTTCAAACAGGAGAGGTAACCAGAAATGCAGACCAAAGTCACTCGTGGGGCCTTTAAAAATACAGTGCTATTCTGAACTAATGTGATCTCTTTTTTCAAGTATTAAATACATATATTGTAGAATGTGGTACATAGAGCAGAGAAAGCATAAGCTGTAGAGGCAGAATGATCTGGATTCTCATCAATTAAATGGCTTTGCACAAGTTACTGGATCCATTTTAGCCTGTTTCCTCACCTGTGAAATAAGATAATACCACCTTCCTCTCACGTGTGGTATAAAGTATGTATATAGTATAGTATAGCTTACATTTTCTGCAGTATATGTATTTAATACTTGGAAGAAAGAGATGACATTAGTTCAGAATGGCACTGTTTTTAAAGGCTTCACAAATGACTTTGATCTGCATTTCTGGTTACCACTACTGTTTGAAACGGTTAGCACATAGTTGGTAATCAACACACTTTGGTGTGCCCAAAACAAATTTCAGTTTTTCTGTTCTTTGTTAGTTGTCCAACAGTTATAACTGAATGTAGATAATTCTGGATATTGTCAAGATTGCTGAAAGAGTAACAGATGGTGAGTGACTAAATGATACTAGTATCTTAACAATAATCACACATTCAGAATCTAAGGGGGACGTTATGCTCAGATTTTCCCCAAAAAATGTATCCAGACTAAAGATATTATTTTCAATTACTAATGGCCTACTGAGTAATTTAAATCTTTACAGTGTGGACTAATGTCTCTGGATCATCAAACCTTAAAAAAAAAAAGAAGCAAGTGAGAAGGAAAGAGGAGGAAGAGGAAGGAATGGGAGCCTGTAAACTAAACCAGACAGCAAGGGGTCTGGCAGATAGTTAGATGAGAGGTACAGTACTAAGAAGGCATCAAAAACAGGGATGAGCAGGCAGCTCTTATGTATCTTGACAAGCAAGGATTGCAAAAGTCCTTTTCTGATCCATTTGATCAGAAAAAAAGGGTCAGAATTCTGGGCGAAGATTTTTAGATGAAATGGTATTAAAAACTTAGGCCCCAAATAAGAGCAATATGTAGCTGAAATATGAGTAATAGGAAAATAAAAAGGAAAGCTGACAATTCATTGCCAAACATATGTTATTTTGCTTAATCTTCAGAACAACCCTACGCTGTCCTTACTGCTCTCTCCATTTCACATTAAAAACAAAGAAAAAAATCTGAGATTTGGAAAGGTCTCTAACTTACTTAAATTTTTAAGACCAATAGTTGGTGGAACCAAGATTCAGACCCAGATTACTCTGATTTAAAGCCATGTTCCTTTTAGAGATTTATCGTTGGAAAGAAGTACTCAAAGCGGCTTCCAGAATGACTTTGCCAATACAATTGATGACATTAACAGAACTACTGAAAAAGATGCAATTTTAGCTAGGTCACAGAAAGGAATTCATCCTAATAGAAAAAACATGTGCAAAAGGTATCATATATATTAATCAAGAAACTGCAAGTACTTCAGGAAAGGATGGAATTTGGTGGGAAGCAAGGAGAAGTCAATTCACAAACAAAGCCACGTTAAGGAGTTGGGTTTTATTTTGAGTACAAAGTGAGGGGAGTGACATGAAATCTGTTTTACAAAGGTTATTCTGGCTACAATATGAACAATGGGTTGAAGGGGCAGCAGTGCTGAGTGTTGCAGTAAACCTAATGCAGCATGGCAGGCATGAGAACCAATAGCAGCAATAGTGAGAAGATCAAATAATGAACTTGGGTTTATGATAACTAAGGCTCATGCTCTGATATCTGCCTTAGACAAAAACCTATTCATACATGGTAAGAAGTACGTGAGGAATAATGAATTATTCTGTATTTGTACAAGAGAAATTTGAGGGACCTATGGGACTTCCAATTGGAAAAGTCTATAGGTGCTCATGAGAATCCTAACTTGGGAGCCAGCAGCATATAAATGACAACAAAAGCCATAGGAATAGGTAGGAAATAGGATGAAGAGAGGACAGGAGATGGGGTACTTTTCAGGGAAGAGACAAGACAAAAGGAACCTCCATTGAGACAACTGAGAAGGAGGGGGACATGAGGAAAGTGTGGTATTTTAAAAGTCAAGGGAAGAAGGAAGTAGCCATTAGTGTCAAATACTACATAGATCAAGTAAAATGAGTGCAAAAAATTGTACACATTGTTCAGGAGCAGTTTCACTGGTGTGATGGGAGCAATAATATAGTGGGTTGGATGAACAGAAGGTAAAGGAGTATATATGGAAAACACAGGCAATTTTTTCAAAAAGCTCAGCTTACAAAAGCACACTCAATGAGAGAAAAGTTACTATAATGGGATTTGGGACTGATAAAATTTTTGTTTTGTTTTAAAAGACAAAAGAGGTTCAAATATGTATAAAATGCTGCTGATGAGACACAGCAAGTAGAGAGAGAGATTGAAGATATTAGCGACACAAAGGATCACTGATAAAGGGAATTTCTTGAAGTACTGTGATATGATAAAATCCAGAGTACAAGTACGAGGACAGTTTTTACACACCTGGAAGGACATTTTCCAAGTACTTATTCCTCGGTAACAGGTACACCCAGCTATAAGTAAATGGCATACTCTTGATACCTCCACTTGGATACTCTTAGAGGCATCTTAAATTCAGAAAAAGAAGAAAAATCACAAAAAGAAGAAAAACATGAAAGCAGAAGCAGATAAGTTTTCAGACATTGAGCCTACAATCTGAAGGAGTTTTCCACGTAATGACTGCTTTTTTTGTCTATGAAGTATGAATCAAGCTCATATCCTAAAAAGAGAGAAAGTAGAATAGGCTGTAATGGAGCAGAGAAGATAAGGTTTGAATAGCTGTTATGAAAACAGAAGAGTCCTTACAACTGACATCAACACATGTGGGACACATAAATAACTGAGCTCTATAACTCACCTGCTGTACTGCCTTGAATTCCATTTGTAATTTTAGTGGAGCAGACAGACCCTGGATGTTTCTCAGTGTGGAAAAATTCATTTTATCTTGGTTGAGCTGGAACTACAAAAGACAATGTAATTTGAAATGTTACACTCAATATTCTGTTTTCAAAACAGGAGTAATACATATAGAACACAGTACGTGAATGAAAGATTTTAATATCCATAACTGAAATAAAAACAAAGTACTTTTATTAATTTCTCCTAACAGATTTTAGAATATGTACGTCTACATTTTATCCAGACATCAGGCAGGTATACTTCACCAGTGTAAAATTACTACCTAAATTTTGGATTTACAAAACCAGTAACTTAAATGTTTTTCACATCTCAAAAGTGTATTTACAAGGCATATTTTAGAGTGTTTGATTAGAAGTAATACAAATCTGGTAGAGCAAAAAATGGTATAAATAATTTGAGATCCAGAAAATATCACATACATTGCTGAAAATTAATAGTGAATTTCTAAGTATAAAAGTATTTATTTCAAAGGATTTCATAAAAGAAATAACCAAATAATACAATCCTCTAATTAAACTACAATATTTAAACTCCACTTTTTTTGGGTAATTGAGTCAGGGCGGGGGGAAATCCAAAATTCTGAAAAGTCTATTCGATTTGTATTGGGCACTAAACAGCAATTTTTTCTGGAATAATACTTTTACTAAGTATTAATATTATGTTTAAGAAACTTTGATCATCATTTTATATACTTCAGGCAAAATGAATCAACTCAACTCAAGGATTCTAATACACACAGTTTCCCAAAATGGTTCATAAGGAGAATGAATATGATATGCAAACAGACTGCTACAAAGATCTGTCCAAGCTAAGGTAATTATAATGTGGTGAAAGTGATTTCTTGTGATTACTTTTTATTACACTCTACTCTCTAACACTTATCAAAAAGATCCTTTTGATCAAAAATCGTTTCAAAGATCAGTGCCTACTTGGGACATGATGGGGGACCATATTTATGAGGTTTGAAAGTAAGGTGTCTAGCAATATGGTTTTTAATTACTTTAGCTTGACACAGCAAATTTTGACAGATGGTCCTTATGGAAAATATGCAATATTTTATTACGGATATATGATCTGAAGTTCTAAGTGAAGGATTCCTTTCAGATGTTGAGTTATCCTCATGATAAGTAAATATAACTTTATGTAGAAAAACTCTACTTACATAAACTTAGATGAATACACCCACCTTGTAATGTGATAACTGCAATTATCAATCAATATATACATTAGCAACCACATGCAAAATTACACTCTGTGGCATTATACAACAAAATGGAAGAAACAGCCTAACCTGGAGGAGGTTATAACCTAGTTGGGGAGACATTTATATAGAGATCAGGGCTTTTCAACTCTCAGCACCACTAACATCTTGGGCCAGATAATTTGTTGTTGTGGGGGCTGTCCTGTGCATTGTAGAACGTTTAACAGCATCCCTGGCCTCTATCCAATAGATGCCATTATTAATAATACTGGCCCAACCCCAGCCATGCCACCTGTGACAACAAAAATGTCTTCAGACATTGACAACTTTCCCCTGGGGGGGAGGGCAAAAATCCCACTCCTTCCAAGTTGAGAACCATTGGTACAGAGGATGACGGTCATTTTCCATCACTATCACCACTGTAGCTCGCAATCATGGAGAGCTACTCGAGGCCAGCAATATAATATGCCAAGGGATGGGCTATTATTAATTCCACTTTACAGATGAGGAGACTAAGACTTGGAGAGTGAATAAGTAATTTCCCCAAGTTTACTTAGCTAATAAGCATAGTACCTAGGTAGTTCAACTACACAACTCATGCTAAAGGACATAATAAATAATAAGTGCCCAAGAATTTCAAGAAAAAGAGAAACTATTCGTTGGTTAAGTGATTAAGGAAGAATACACAGAGGCAGTAGATGTAAGCTACTCTTAAGATCTCAAAAGATCTGTGCAGTTTCTAGACTCTTCATCATTCTGACCAGTCTCACTCAAATTTGTCAGTTTCTCTTAACATGTATTGCTCAGAACTGAACCAATATTCCAAATCTAATGGCCAGACTAACACATAGTGAAAAAGTGGAAATGTAATCTTTTATTTGAGCCCCATCTTATTATTGATAAAGTCCAAGATCACATAACTGTTCTTTTTAGTAGCTAACATAATCTGCAGCTTATACTGAGCATACATTCGATTAAAATTCTCAAATTTTATGTAACAAGTCAGGTTTGCCCCACTTAAATGTGTCTAATTCATTTCTTGAACCCAAATGCAGTACTTCACACTTACCTCTATCAATGTTTTTCTTAAAGTTTTGGCCTATTTTGTCATCCATGATATAGTTCAATTATTCATCAAAATGAGGTATCCTTACCAGCTTTTTCTTCCAAAAACCTAATTTACATGCTTCCTATGGTTACCCTCAAGTCTTTGAAAAACACTTAACCTTCCTAAGTGTTCACCTTACTACCTAAGATGGAGGTAGAGACCCAAGATCCCTACCAAAATACCCTTTCTAAATTGACAATTCCTTGATCATTGCTCTCTGGGTACAGTTATCGACCACAATTTACACTACACTACTTTCACTTGGCCCATATCCACCATCTTATCCTCAAGCTTATCCCTTGTCAGATATTTTGATTCCTTGATTGACCCATTTGGTAATTTAACAGAAGCATGAACTAAGATTAATTTGTTATGAGCTCCTTCAGTTGCTGGGGATCACCACCTACTTTCCTAAACCCTCACAGTCATCTACTTAATCATCCACTGAACAGTGCCAGGGACCAAGGCTACCACTAAAAAATCTAATTTTTTAGTTAGATCCCTTTTAGAAAAGTGGGATTTTAAATTCATCTTTAGTCTAAAGACAACTTCCACTTCTCCCATTATTTCTCAAAAATGATCAACTACAGTTTTATAATCATCATCATATGCTTTTATGTCTACTCTGGGCTGTCAACTTCTGAGCCTGAAATCTGAATGCACGTAAAGCAACTAGGAGCTCTTTATTTTCTCATCTTATTTGAGCTTCATAATTATATTATTTGTTCTATCCTTTCTTATAGAAAGATTTTTCTTCTTGCTAAAGAGGGGGGATAGACCAGCTTTCTTTTACCTAGGTGACACTGCACCATCTTCCCCAAGTAGTGAGATACCTCTTTCCTCCTGCTCTAAATGTATATTAAAGAACTTTTTAAGTTGCTTTCAAAACAACTGTACATGCTATCCTCTCTTTGGGAGTGACCTTTCTCCACCTATTTACCTGGTGAATACTGGCCTAAAACTGTTCAATGTCCCCTCCCTTACAAAGCCTTCCAAAAACCCTAAGCACAGGTGGTTGCCCCATCCTTGGTCCTCTTCAGCACTTTATGATGACCTCTACCTGTTGCTTGTCTTCCTTATTAAATTTTAACTTTCTTAAGGATGGGGATTATGTCATATTTATCTGCATACCTACTGTGCCTAGTGGATATGTCCCTCAGTAACTTGGAGATGCAGGGCTTGAGAAAGAGGTCAAGGCTAGAGATATAGACTTGGAGGTCAACAGCAAAAATAGCAGGGAAAAGATATAAAAGGAAACAGGGTTATCAAATGAGAAAATGATTATGAGAGGAATGAAGAGGTAAACCAACCTTTAGAGATGTCCAAAAAAAGATGGAAAAGGATGTGTAGAAAGGGAGTGTTAGTGAAGCAGTTTAATGATAATTTGAAAACCTACCCTACAAGGAAAGTGAAAATAAGACCTCCTATTCTCCATGTTCAAATCCTCAGCACCACAATTATTTTCATAAAATGAAACCACAAAAGTATTGCTAAAAGTATTTTTCTACTAGAAGATAAAAATAGCGACACAGGTAACATAACTTACATTTTTTTCTGATAATTCAAGAGGATGACTGGGCAAAAGTTCATTTTTCACACAAGAAAAACTGAAAAAAAAAAGCATTTAAAAAGATCAAATGTCACTCAATATTCATAGCTCAAAATTGCATCTATCAAGGGTATGACTATAATGGGATGGCATGAGAGAGTTTTTTGGGGGTGATGAAACTATTCTGCATCCTGACTGTGGTGATAGTTACATGAATTAATATATGTGCTAAAATTCATAGAACTATACACCAAAAGAAAAAAAAGTCAAATGTACTGTATGATAATTGTTAAAAAATGCATCTAGTACAGACACTGGTGGTCAAGACTTCAATCACTAGGCAGAACCTTCCAAAAACTGTTGCCAAATGATCCCCTCTATCTACAAGAAATTCAAAAAATGTATGTATTACTCTGATGAGATGCTTCTTGCACTATATAAAATATCTAAGCTTCTCCCCTTCCTTCAGGTCTAACACGTATTCAATATTTAATATATCTTTAATAAATATATGTTGAACAATATGTTCAACATTTACTGAACACCTACTATATACAAAGTATTATTAGGTGATGCACAGCTAGAACCAGACCACTGGTCTTTATCATTCTAGATATATACAGATGACTGTCTACTGTCCAAAGCAGGATTTGGTAGCTCAAAGAAACCTTAGAAATCCTCTAACAATCATTTATTGAATACTGCTTTTGTACAGAACAAAAATGGCCTGGCTCATGGCAATCTTACAGTCTAATTGCAAAGAAAAGAAAAAGGAACATTTCGTGTGGGAAAAAGAATTATTAGGACTTGGTTAGTGGCTACCCTATGAATTTGATTATACTACCAACCAAGTTATATCTCCAATTCCAAAGTCAATATGGTACATCTTTTACTATAAAATTCTAAGTCTATAGTGAGGGATTATATCTGTCTCCAAAAATGAGCATTAATATGCCATTCTATTATAAGAGTAAATACCTTAAAATTAGATATAAAATTCAAAAAAATAGAAGGGGAAAGGTATTATTCTTATTTGATTAAGAAGAAAGGTGACCTGCCAAGAAAAGTGATTAGTACCAGAAACTGAGACCTAAACATATAGAAACATAAAGGAAATCATGGAAAGGGGCATAACTGCATGCTAAAGCTAGAAGAGAAAATCAGTAACAGCCAACCCTTACTGAGTGCTTACTACTGTCAGGTACTGTTTGAAGTATTTTTCAGGTATTAACTTATTTATTCCTCAAAATAACATACACACTACTATTAGCCCTATTTTATAGAAGAGCATACTGAGACACAGAGCAAGTAAGTAACATGCCCAAAGGCATACATCTAATAAACAGCAGAGCCGGGATCCAAATCCAGGCAGCCTGAACCTAAAATCCATCCTCTTAACTGCTGTTCTAGTATCTCCCCACAAAAAGTGAATTGCTCCAATAGTTAATAAGGAGGCTAATGTTATAATAGCAAAAAGAAGAATCCTATGAAATCATGCTACTGGGTACCATCTCCTAGGAGGATGTCCGTAGGAACCTACTACTCTGATAAGATGCTTCTTCCACCATGAAAAACATCTAAGCCTCTCTCCCCCACCCTCTATCTAAGGTATTACTTGCTATCTCCCAAATTAAATATACATTTATAGCCTAAAAATATTTAAAGAATATTGTGAAAAATAATTCACAGAAACATTTTTATTAATTTATTTTGGCAGCTGGCCAGTACATGGATCCAAACTGTTGACCTTGGTGTTGTCAGGACCATGCTCTCCCAAGAGAGCTAACTGGCCAGCCCAGAAACATTTTATTATAACAAAATTGAAGCCACAATTCCCCCATATACCCTTTCCGAAGAAGATCATGACTTTCAAAAGGTCCACTTGCTGAAAGTTCAGTAACTGGAATACTGTCCTTCAGCTGAGATCCAAGTCCTCTGGCATTCTGTAACACAAATAAAAAACAACCATTTAATACAAAAAAAAATTAAACACACACAAACACCTATGTTAAAATATTGTTTAAGGGCCGGCCTGGTGGCGCACTGCTACAGTGCGCCGCTTGGGAGCTCCTGCCGAGGGTTCGGATCCCACACACAGACCGGTTCCCACTCACTGGCTGAGCGAGGGGCGGGCGCAGCACCATGGGTTGCGATCCCGTTGCCGGTCCCGGTCCGGTACGGGCGCGACACTGAGGGTTGCGGTCCGTTGCCGGACATGAGAAAAGACAAAAAAAAAAGGAAAAAAAAAAATATTGTTTAAGCAGAGAAGAAAAAACATAAGGTCTTTGCCTTCAAAGAGCTGTATAGGCGATTCCAATGAGCCTTAAGCATTATGGTAGAGGGACATACATGGTAGAATGAGCAATACCAATCTTGGGGGTGAGAAGGATTCCTGAGCTGATCTCTGAATACTGCCAGATTGAAAGTCATTCTAAGAAAAAAGAAATAGGCATTATGGTAGAGGGACATACATGGTAGAATGAGCAATACCAATCTTGGGGGTGAGAGGGATTCCTGAGCTGATCTCTGAATACTGCCAGATTGAAAGTCATTCTAAGAAAAAAGAAATAACATAGATAAAGGTATGAAACTATAAATGAGCAATCTACAAGCAGTTTGAGATGACTGGCTAAATGCATGCATGAGTGAGGCAGAAATAAAGGCTGGCAAGATGAAAAGCCTTACATGCAAAGAAATTTGGGTTTTACCCCAAAATTGATAGCTTCTGAAGGGTTATGGCATCATCAGATTGTTTTCACTATAAAGATCCCTCCCTTAGGTTGGAATGTTTAACACATAATGAAAAAATTGAGGGCAGAATGCTGGGGAATACTATTCCTTAATAACAAGGAATAACAAAGAAATGAGACTAAAAACAGACAGGATAGCTAGAAAAGAGTGGTCCCAAAAGCTAAGAAAAAAGAAAGGAAATCTCAGAAAGTGTTTGGTTTTTATAAGTGAAGGGCAGTACCTATAAAAAATAAATGTATCTAATCAGGATAATGTATAATAAACAAAAAAGACTCACAGTGCATTTGATACTGATATATTGTCAGCCTGTATATTTATACTATGAAATTTCAATCACCAAATATTTATTAGGCACTTACTATGTGTCAGATACTCTGCTAGGTGCTGAAGATACAGGTCTTACTCCCAGGGCTTAATCTAATGAAGTTACACAAGTAAGTGTTACAACAGGTAAAGAACAAGATGCTGACTTTAAATCAATTGTTGCTCAAGTACAACATCCCTGCAACTCTGCAGAAAAATGTAAAACGACTACAGGTGGTTTGGTATCTAATTTTAGACTACTATTCTAGGAGAAACTGTTCTGATAAACCAACTTTTTTATTGGCTTCTCAATTCATCTGTATATTCCATCTGGTCAGATACTTTGTGTTGTCAGAGTTTCTCCACTCTACCACCCAAGTCCAAGTTCTCACACATGGATAACTTTAACAATATTCCACTGAGTCTTACTGCTTTACACTCACCCATTTTCCAATTCTGCATAGCAAGGTTTTCCTAAAACACACTCCCCCTTCCCCCGACCTCCACACATCCCAGAACTGCTATAAAACCTTTCATTCGCTCATCAGTGTTTGAAAAATAAAGTGCAGACTCCTTAGGCTGGAACTCAAGAACCTGCACAACAGGTTCCAAATACCCTACAAACAAAAAGTCATGGTGGATCAAGAAAAGAATCTGGAATCTAGTGTGAACTGTCACTAACCTACTTTTTGACTGGTGGCAATGCACACAACCTCTCTGGCTTTTTTTAATCATCTGCACAAGGTAGCTGATCTCTTTCCAGGAGTAGAGTGGCATGACTGTGGCTTTCCAAATGTATCTTCTGTTACTTTACTACATGAATATTCTCCTGCCAGATTGCTTTCTTGTAAAGTGACAGAAGAAAGGTTTCTTCTACGCACAAAGAAAAGGGGAATTCTGCTGTCTGGGTATTATTATTACCATCATTTTCCCAATTTCCTTTTGTAAAATATCAGGATTAGTACTTAATGTTTCTAATAAGGTAGCAGAGAAAAACAAATCTATGAAAATCTAATTACAGTTACATTTGGGAGTGTTTATAAAACTTCTTTACAAGGATTTGCAGTATTTACCAACAGAAGCTTTCTAGATTTGGACGGATAGCCTACCAACAGTATTGGTATCAGTCAGTGGCAATGGTGATTCAGGAGTCTTCCCAAATTGTATCACAACTTTTACGTTAAAAAGAAAGAGAAAGTGCGGAGGGGAGTGCTCCAATACCTGGTATACTACAAGCTCTCAGAACGTTTGTAAAGACGGTTATATAGATGCGGCCTATAGTGGTGGGTTGATCATCAGGCAGTTACAAGGGCCGGGGGGTGGGAGCAGTTTGAGGACTCGGGGGTCGCAGAAGTTACCTCCTCAGAGGAAAAGGCTAGTCGGCGGCACCACACCACACCACAGAACACCGCGCTTTCCAATGTGCCCTTTCCAGCTCCGCGCCAACTACGGGAAAGGGACCCGGGTCTGCTGGGGATGTGAGGGCGCACACCGAGCGAAGAGGGGGAGGAACAGGACTAAGTCGAACCGCTGCTCACAGAACCAGTGCTGGAGCCGGGCCCGGCGACAGCCACTAGTACCCGCCCCAGCCCCGTGACTCGACAGATCATGGCGCCCGAAGCCGGCCTCATCCCCACATCTCCGTCGCCCCCGCCACCCGGGACGTGCTGGGAGGCGACGGTCTGTTCGTGCCGGGCCACGATCCCGAGCCCGCCTGGAACTCGGGCCGCCCAGGGCTCACTCACCATCTTCAACCCTGCTCTGCGAACAGCTTCTCAGTGCGGTCACCAGCAGCCGGCCCCGCCGCTCACTTCCGTTTCCGGGGGCCGTTCCCGTACATCCGGCGGAAGTGCGTCCGTCCGGGCAAGGAAGGAAGAAGGGCGCGGGCGCCGGGAGGGAGCTTTGCGGGGCCGGGGCTCCCACGCCTGCAATCACGAGGGACCGAGGAGGGCCAAGGGCGCAGTAAGGGTGTGGGCTGGGAGGAGGGCAGGAGCGGGACGAGACGTGCCGCAGGGGAGGAAAGACGCGGATTCCACTTTATTAATAAACATCCACCGTTCGTCTGGCATATTTTAAGATGTGCAGTGCGCTTTTGTAGATGCATCGCCTTATTTAACACAAAATCTGAGGCAGATATTACGTTTTACAGAAGTGTAAACGAGGCTTAGGTGGGTTGAGTGATATCCCTGAGATCGTTCAGTTAGTAAGGCTTTTGACAGTTTAAAAAATAAATTTAAATCATTTATCAGAAGGCCTGCCATGTTTGGAACCCCGTGCTGAGGCTAAGAGTACAAAAAAGTACCGGGCTGGCGAGGTCGCTGGGCTAGAACAGCAGCGGGAATCCAGGGGCTGGGGGTGACGACTGAAAAAGTAAATGCCATCATGACTGACATAGTGGGTTCTTAAAACTACGTATGGACACAATTGGAAGCGCTTTACATAAATTATCTCCTTTCATCCTTTCAATACCTTACGAGGTAGACGCGACTATCTCCTCACTTTTAAAGATGAGGAAACCAAGAAGTTAAATAAATATGCCCAAGGACCCAGCCTGAGTCCATAACCCACGGTCATAACACTATACTGTATTGCCTTCCAAATATAATGTGATAAAAACGGTCTCATGCTCCTTCCACTGTATACTGGAGACAATTTAAGAAATCCTTTTGCTGATAGCTAAAGGATAAGAGCGAGTTCGGGGTATTAGGGGTATGTAAAGAACATTACTGGCAGATCTGCCTGTGCAAAAAATGAACTGGGCGTATACTGGAGACAATTTAAGAAATCCTTTTGCTGATAGCTAAAGGATAAGAGCGAGTTCAGGGTATTAGGGGTATGTAAAGAACATTACTGGCAGATCTGCCTGTGCAAAAAATGAACTGGGAGAAAAGGCCTGTCTGGCCAAAGCTGAGAGAGTAAGGTAGGGAGTAGTGTGAGATGAGACTCAATAGATGGAGGCAAGTTTTTTACACAGGCCCTTTAAATGTCTAAAAAGCTATTGAAGGATTTTAGAGAGGGAGGTGATAAGTAGAGTGTGTGTGTGTGTGTGTGTGTGGTATATTTACTGCGCTGGTAAGGGGTGTGTGTGTGTGTGTGTGTGTGTGGTATATTTACTGCCCTGGTAAGGGGTGTGTGTGTTGTATATTTACTGCCCTGGTAAGGGGTGTGTGTGTGTGTGTGTGGTATATTTACTGCCCTGGTAAGAGGTGTGTGTGTGTGTGTGTGTGTGTGTTATATTTACTGCCCTGGTAAGAGGTGTGTGTGTGTGTTATATTTACTGCCCTGGCCACCATACAACTTTGACGTACGTGTGTGTGTGTGTGTGTGTGTGTGTGTGTGTGTGTGTGTGTGTGTGTGTGACGTTCTGGAATAATCCAGATGTTACTGCACTGTTGTCCTTATGTGTCTTCTGGTCCTTCAAAGTATCTATGTTTACTTTGAGATTTGAGCTTGAGTATTTTATTTGCATCTGTTTTCTTTCAATCAGTTCCACCTAAGGAGAAATTTTAAAACTGCAACTCTTTTTTTAAAAAAATAATTTTAATGTTTGTTGATTGCTTACAATTCAGTCAGTGAATATTTGGTGAGTATTTGCTTGGTACTAGATTCTGCAGCTATGAAAAAGAGAAGGCTATTCCCAATGCATGAGATGCTTATATTTTCCTGACATGTAAGCAGATATTTAAAATGCAGTGTGGTAAATGCTTAACAGAGAAAGGAGCTGGGTCAGGAACTAGTTGGGAACAGCAAAAACAGCTTTCAAGGAAGAAATGTGGAAAGCCAGGGATTTGTGAAAGAACATGTTGTAATCTCAGCAACAGAGAACATTTCCATGTGGTTGGAGTTCTGGGTGAGCTGGTGGAGCAGGATGAGATGAGGTTGGAGGGATTGGTTGGGGTGAAAATGAAGGGTCTTGTTTGCTGAGGTTTGGGACTTTTTCTTGTAGGCAATAGGAGATAATGGATGTCTTTTCACAAACATTTGCTGTTAAAAAAAAATATTTTGATGGTGTCATGAGGAATAGAGTGGGATTGGGAGAAAGTAGGAACCAGGAAACCCTTTAAGCTATTGCAATAGTCCAAGTCAGAGATGATGAAGATATAAATTAAGATAGTGTAGCATATTGGAAAGCTTTGGAAGTGGGAATAAGTAGGGATGAAACTGAGAAGTACCAGAATTGAAAAGGCAGCCAGAAAGGGATCCTCCATGGAGATGAAGAAGACATGGTAAGAGAGGCAGGAGAATACCAAACCAAAGTGGTATCTGGGAATCCACAGGGCAAGAAAATATTGAGAGGTAGAAAGTAGTTCAGAAGTATCTAAAAAGAGATCATGACGTTCTGAAAACAGGCCGTTGGTAACCAATGTGAAGGCAGTTGTTTTAGTAGTGCAGCAAGTAGGAAGAAAAATCACCTTATTTTGAGCAGTACACACACCCATGTTTATATCCTATTTTAAAAGGTTAGAGCATTAACCTACAGGCCACTTTTGAGTATGCCAAATAGGTGAAAGAATTAAATTAGATTTGATACTAGAATGATTTCATATGCTTAACTTAAGCTTTATCTGTGTTATATAGTTTAGAGGATAGAATATTAATAATAATAGCTTACATTTACTATATGTAAGGCCCTGTGCTTCGTTCTTTACATACATTGTTTCAATTAATCCTTAATTACCTTATGACTTAGATACTGCTTTTATTCACATTTCACAGAAGAAACAGACTTGTGTGCATTGTATAAGAGCAAGTACCCTATTTTATTTTACTTTTTGTTGTCTTCCTTGACTTTACTCTTAAGCCTGTCTGACGACCTATATAGGCCAACTGAGGACAAGTCAGCTTCGTTCACAGCATCTGGCAAGAACCCTCCCCCCTCGTTCTAGCTCTTTCCCTATTTGTTACCTTTGGCTGTTTCCTGTGTGGGTCCTATTCCTGTACTGCATCTTGTCTACTGAATTTGGTCCTCCTGACTTAAAGTTTAGTGCTTTCTAAAAATCTGGAATTATACTTACCCTTTGCTCTTTTTTCTTCTTTGTCTTAGAAGAAACCCTGGGCATCGAAACCCTACCCAAACTAGCCTGCTTGGTTCAACCCCTCTTAATGACTGTTTTTGTCTGTATAGCACAGTGCCTTACATACTTTAAGCAGGCACTCAGAATCTTTAAAATCTAACATATTGTGAATGGTTTTTTATTTAGAACATGGGACAAGCTAAAAGAGGCATGGAGAAGAGAGACAGGAAAATGTCTCAGCTAAGGAATGTCTTGGAGCCAAGGAAGTTATAATGTCAGGATAAAGGAATGACCGATGATGTCAAGTATTATGATTGTGGAAAAATCAATGGTGTTTGGCAAATGGGATGTTATTTGTATGATGAGCAACTTCAGTAAAATGGTGGGAGCAGAAATCAGATTGCCAAAAGTGAAGAATTAGTAATAAGAAAATGGAGGCACTAAGTTTTGTAGATTAATCTTTTCAGAATGTTGACAGTCTCGAAAAAGAGAAACTGGTTTTTGGCTTGAAAGGAAAAAGGATTTTGGTTTGAATCAAAGTTGGGTTTTGTATTTGTTTTTGTTTCACGTGTGTGGTTGGAGAGAGCAATGTTTGTTAGGTAGATGTTAGAGTCAGTGAAGGAGCAAGAGTGAAGATGGCAGGGAGAGATAGCAGCAAGACGGAATGAATGATCAAAGTAGTGACCTCGCAGGTGCCCACAGCAGGTGTGAGGGGGTTAAGGGCAGCGATGGAGATTACAAATATGAGAAAAGGTGGAAACCATGACAAAGAAGTAGTCCTGAACTGTGGAGGAAGAATGTTGTGGGAACTGAAGTCTGATCATCACTGTTAGTAGTGATGGGAGAAGAGGGGCTGGTGGTGGCTTAATAAAAGAAGCAAAATTGAAAGGTCACCATGGAGAAGGTACTAGCAGACCAGTAGGAGGAGCTAAAAGAACTGCTCAGAACCATGAGGACAGGAGTGAGGGAGAGTAACATCAGTTTGTAATGGGCTAGATCAGCACAGTTTCACTGTTTTCTGTAGCATTTCTCAGCAATACGGGTAGATAAAGAGGGATGGCAAACTAGACATCATGGAGGGTAAGCAGGGCAGGGATTCTAGATGACCATGTGGTACAGGGGTCAGGAAGGTCAAGGAAGTGATTAAAAGGTGTACAATGATACCCCTACCCATAGCACCTGCTTTCTAGCCTTCCAACATCCCTTTGTGTTGAAAGCCTTTTTAAGTGCTTATTTCTCTGGACTGCGAGCTCCCTGAGAGTGGGGACTGTGATCTGCCTACCAGTTCTGTCCAGGCCTCCTTGGTCTTTTCTCCTCCCAGTCTCTGAGGACAGTTCTCAGCTGGACAGATTCTTTTGAGCTTTGAAAGCAAAATCAAGATTTGAAAAGGGACTGGTGGCAGAGACTGGTGATGATGGTGTTTCTTCAGAGTTTAGGGTAGAACTCCATTGTTGGAGACAGATGGGAGGGAAAAATAATTAGTGTAAAAACTTTGTAAAACTTATTCTCTCTCCAAGGTACCTAAAAATTAGAATGTTGTATGGTGGTTTCAGAAATTGTGCTCCCCTACGCATTGCGGAAGGGAGTTCTTATGAGGGGAGGGTACACATCTTAGCCTATAAGAAAATACTGTGTTTCAGAGGACCTGAAGAGAATCTATACATTATAAACAATACATCCAAATCTTCTTTAAACTATCTAAATTCTTGTAGTGTCAGGAAAGGTTCAATGCACTTAATTTAAGATAAATCATAATTACATGTCTTTCTTTGCAAGTCCCTTTCTGTGTGTTAAGAGATGGAAAAATACTTCACATCAAGTTTATTGGACAAACCCTGGGAGATGAGTGTTTCATTTTTCTTTTGAAATACTTTGCTGACTATAATTTCAGATAGATCTGCTTTTAAAAGAGTGTCC